TATAATCTTATTATATCAAAGTGCTAGACTGGTGTTTTAGCCATCATGGTCCCAACTATATTGTTATATACCCAACTTTATCTCAACTATACAGTTTGTTCAGTAAAAGATATCCCCCCCCAAATCCTTACTTCTCATTCTATTGCATCAAAGGCAGCTGACAGAAGTAATAACATTGGACACACTGTCTTAATTCATTTGCAAGAAGAAATCAACCAGTATAACCAAAGCAACTGCTATGTCATGCTCAGAATTGCAATCAGATTGACAAATACTTGGAAATCTCTTCATACTAGATATTTAGCTATCTTGCCATAGCATTAATTAGAAAAGACAGGTAAGATATGGTTACTGGTCATATTGCCAATGGTAAGTGATGGGTGGTTGAGCAAACAGCTTCCTTTTGAGAGGCTGGTCTTCTGCTTTCTCTCTGGCAGGAATCAACAGTTTCTACTAGTAATGGAAAAAAAAAATTATCAAGGCTCACATTTGTGAGAGCCTGGCAGGAGAAATTATGCTGAGGGGAAACCAGCACGGGTTCGTGGCAGGCAGATCATGCCTGACCAATCTAGTCTCTTTTTATGACCAGGTTATGAAACACCTGGACACTGGAGGAGGGGTGGATGTCGTATACTTAAACTTCAGGAAGGCCTTCGATACGGTATCCCACCCCATACTGGTGAACAAGTTAAGAGGCTGTGACTTGGATGACTACACAGTCCGGTGGGCGGTGAATTGTCTGGAGGGTCGCACCCAGAGAGTCATGTTAGATGGGTTGGTTTCGACCTGGAAGGGTGTGGGCAGTGGGGTCCCGCAGTGCTCGGTCCTTGGACTGATACTCTTTAATGTCTTAATCAGCGACTTGGATGAGGGAGTGAAATGTACTCTGTCCAAGTTAGCAGATGACACAAAGCTATGGGGAGAAGTGGACACGCTGGAGGGCAGGGAACAGCTCTAAGCAGACCTGGACAGGTTGGACAAGTGGGCAGAAAACAACAGAATGCAGTTCAACAAGGAGAAATACAAAGTGCTGCACCTAGGGAGGAAAAAGCACACCTACAGCCTAGGAAATGACCTGCTGGGTGGAACAGAAGTGGAAAGGGATCTTGGAGTCCTAGTGGACTCCAAGATGAACATGAGTCGGCAGTGTGACGAAGCCATCAAAAAAGCCAATGGCACTTTATCGTGCATCAGCAGATGCATGACGAATAGGTCCAAGGAGGTGATACTTCCCCTCTATCGGGCGCTGGTCAGACCACAGTT